AAAAAAAAAAAAAAAAAAGAGTTGGCTCTATAGTGATCCCGAGCTTCGGAGCTGAGGCGCAAGCAGCCGCACACGGGCGCGCTATCAGCGTGCGGTGTCTCACGCACCGCTCGGCGCTCAGCCGGCAGCCCCGGGATCGCGTGTTTCTGACCGGCAGCGCACTTCTCGTAGCCATGACGGTCTGAGCGAGCCCGGCAGCTCGGAGCTCCGTGCGTCGGTCGGTTAAGGAAAGAAAAAAAAAGAAAAAAGAAAAAAAAAAAGGCAACGAGCGAGAGGAGAGTGAGAGCGCGGGCTTGGGAGCGGCGGTGCGCGGCGTCCGCTGCTCTCTCCCTCCCGCAGAGGGAAGCCCGGCGCCGGGGCTGAGGCGGACCCGCCGCAGCCTCACGTCAAGTGCAGAGGTCCGGAGCGCCTCCATCTCGCTTCCCCCCTCCGCCAAATGGGGCTGCGAGCGCGGGCCGAGCTCCGTCCGCTACCTGACAGCTCGGCACGGCTCCGGGGGGGCGGCGTGAAAATGAAAGTTCGCCTCTTCCCCCCCCCCACCCCCATCCCCCCCGCCCCGCGTCCCCGCAGCGCTATTTTTTTTCAAACCGGCTCTGCGCGGGGCCCGGCCCGCACGGCTCGGCCCGCAGCGTCTCCGGGCGGGGCGGCGGGGGGGACCTGAGCGCGGGGTCCCGCGGGGAGGGATGGGGGTAGCGGGGGAAAAGCACCGCCGCGTGGAGCACCCCCCCTTCCCCGCGGCCCCTTTACCTTGACAGCCGGCGGCGCTCCCCGTCCCTCCGTCCCCTCGCTCCGTCCCTCAGCACCGCGCCCGCCGGGTGACATTTCCCTCCCCCCTCCCTTTCCTCCCCCCCCCCATCGGTGGCGGTTGGGTCGGCAGAGCGGGAGCGCGCGCTGAGCGAGGCGGGCGTGGAGCGCGCGCGGGCGGGAGGGGGGGGAAGGAGGGGGAGGGGCGCGCTGTCAGCCCTCGCCGCGTCCGTAAGCGCCGCTCGCTCAGCCCGGGCCGCGCGCCCCCCCACCCCCCCCC